AGTATCAAGAATAAATTTTAGTCTCCAAGCTCGTGACCATGCAATTATGGCATACCGCGTACACCACAATTCTGGCGTAGAAATTGCACTAAAATTATTGGCACCTTACAATAATACAAGTAAAATATACCTTAGACATATGCGTAAAACTAATAAAAATATATACACTAAACAACAATTAAAATGATTAGTTAAGCATGATGATGTCCGATTACATGAAAATGCTGGTCTGTGGACTATCTTAGATCAATTGGTTACTACTGAATTAAAAGAGCAAGAAAAGATTCTTTATTATCAGCATCATGATACCTCTGTTTCAGAAAACTGCCCTGAACATTACTACCAATTGACAGTAAGCAATGAGACATGGCTTCAACAAGGCCGGGATTGTGGGTTTTTTTGTTTTGGAATAGACAGAAAGTACGATCTAAATAATAAGAAAGCACCTGTGCTTTCTATGGTTATTGAGGATGAAGCTGGATATAGGTCCCCATTGGCATTTGGTTTTAGTAACAAAGAACATCATCATACAATATGAATAGCAGTTCAAGCAGTACAAGCTAATATTCCATGTAATGACTCTAATTGCATGCATCGTTATTAGTATATTAATTTAGAAAATAGAAAAAGCTTTCGACATCAGAGAGAATGCATTTCATACTGGAATCCATTAGCTATGATAGACAAATATCAGCCCACTAAACTTGCGCTACAAGATCTCATTCGTGGGACTATTCTCTGTTGGTTCCATATTATAGCAACTTTAGGTGAACATTTTTAAATATGGAAAATAGACTGGTCATTACGGTACCCAATAGCATTAGCTTTTAAAATTGTGGGCTGAAGTAGATCAGACGAAGAAGCTATTATGATGGTTAAAGAATATAGAAATTTTGTTTATTCTTTGCCACTAGATAATAATATAAAAGATCTTTTGGCTTCTGACTTAGAAATAAACTAGATTTGTGATGAGTGAAGGCAATGTTTTATCGATGGTGGACGGGCACCACATGTATATGATCCGGCCAATGCCAAACCGATGACTACAAACAACCTTACTGAGCATATGCATAAAATGGTAGAAGCACGACGTAGTGGGACACAAACGGTTGTTTCATTTATTGAACGTTTGTATGGCATTAAAATTCTTCGAGATTCATTAGTTCAAAATGAACTTGGTGAAACCTCATTTAATGCGGGTTTGGTAACGTATTAGAATATGCATACAATCGAACATAAGCAATTTCTACACAAAAAACCAATTGATGTAAAATGTTAAATCAACCAAGGGCGTCTCTATGTACTTCTTGGTCTAGTTATGCCAGTAATTGGACATGAAAATTACATGTTTGTTAAAAAACAGTGTAAAAAGTTTTATTCACCCTACAATCATTATTCTATCAATATGGCGGCAGAACTAACTGAAAAAATTGATGCAATGATTACTAAGTTAGTAAACCGTAATGATATTAATATCCTAGCTAATTATTATCTTGTCAATATGTTATCTGGAGAGTACACATATTACGATTATATTTGGAGGGGTTCATATCGTGATATCTGTAAGCACGTCTATGTGGCAAGATTATATATAGAATTATTACATGAAAGGTTACAAGTGCAAGATGTCAAACAGAGCCTAATAAAGTATTTTAAAAGTAAAGAGCATGCTATTGCATTTGAAAAAAAAAATTATATTATTTATAATAGAACTGATGATAAAGCTTATCAGGAAATTCAGCGGCTCTTTAATTATATTGGCAATGATATCTTTTTTTTAACCGATCAAAGAACAGCAATACAAGATCTATTTTATCCAATAAATAATACACAAATTCCCACAACAATAGGATCACTAAGAAATTACAAATCAAAGTATTGAAAGCCCAGTCGACTCTTTAATAATAAACTGCCTAATGAAACAGGAGCATATAATTGTCAAGAGTCTACTAGTAGTTCAGAAAATATTAATAATTTAACTGCTACTAATCAAAATTATGATGATAATGCACATGATAATAATTTTAAGGATAATGCACATGATAGTAATTTTGAAGTTGCTATTAATATTCCTTATTCTATAAGTCAACGTAATACCACAAGGATCCGAAATAAATGTCACACTTCTGCCAAAGCCGTAGGTTTATTAATAATCATTTAATTATTAAATACTTTTATTGATTATACTTATTTTA